CTTTTTGCACCAAAGTCAAATTCCTTGTATGTCTCATACTTGGCCAATAAAGTATTCTATATATATATATATTCTATTATACAAGATAATAAGATGTTTTAAAAGCTATTGACTCTTTGGGGGTTGTCACCCTGCCTGTCGTGGTCACCCAGAGTATCCAGGCTCTCCCATGCAGGATCTCCCAGCCAGCCAGCAGAAACCCAGATGATGCCCTCGGTCAACAACGCAGCCACCCAGCCATCCTGCTGCAGAAAAGCCAGAGGCCGCTCAAGATGTGAATAAATGGGACAGCAGAGATGACCAGTCAGCTTACAAAATGGCAGCTCTCCTGGAAGTAACTCCATGTCTCCGGTTGTTGAGAATTTTATTGTTGGACTGTAATAATACAATTCACTTGCTCCTGAACGATTGCAATTCAGACACAAACACTCCAGACTGGGGGATGAATAGAAAGGAGTGGAGACAGGAACCAAACCAGAGGCAGAGGGGAGGCAGCTGACAAGTCGTCTTATCAGCAGCAACTCAGCCCAGGCCGCAAGAAGCCTAGGAAGAAGCGTTTCAGATCAAAGAGAGGATGCCTTAATTAACTCACTATAAATCAGGGCAGGAAATTCCTGTCCAAGTTTCCACAATTCTGTACTTACTCCAGACAAACATGGAAGATATCTGATCAAAATTGATGCAGCGCTCGCTTTCTAGATCTCGTCCAGCTGTGCGGGGCTTAATATCACTCTTGGAAACTATACCCTTTAGGTCAGTACATCGAAGGAATATTGCAGATGCAGCGTACCTAGACTTCAGTGAGGCAAGGCATTTGAAAAAATTGACCATAGCTGCCTCCTTGATGAAATGGAACAATGTGGGATGGAGGGTTCCACTACCAGTCAGATGCACCACGGCTGAACAACCATACCCAAGAGCAGCCTTGAATGGATCTACGTCGACAGAAAGGGAGGCATCCAGTGGGGTAACAGGGTTCTGTCCTGGGCCCGGTGCTCTTCAACATGATTATGAATTACTCAGATGGGGGGCATAGCCCTGGCTGACTGACCTACCTGATTTTCCTGTCTCTTGATGGTTTACATCTCCTCTCCTCTCCATTCCTTTCTCAGCCTCCCCACAAGCTCTCACCCCGGTGACCACAACGCAGCCCCCTGGAGCAGCCCCCCAAACAATAGCAAAGCTTCTCTGAATCTACTCATGTGGCTAGAATGAAGGAGCAAGCGGTTTACACTCTGGATTGCATTTTTGAATGCGTTCCACACTCTCTAGACAATAAGCCCTTAAGTCAGGTACCAAACTGGAACAGAACTGCTTACGGGTATTTTCTAAGCTTACTAAAATTTAAGGATGGACTGTGATCTTTTTGGCAGTACTACTGGCATTGCGGATGCCTCATCTGCTTCTTGGCAATTCTGAATAATGGGATTTACCACCGCTGCCACCACTGAGGGAAAGAGCTGGACATACCCCTCCATAGTCTCAGCCGATGCTGCACACTCCACCCCTTGGATCCTAACACCTCTTTCTGTTGCGCACAGAACAGCAACAACTCCCAAAGGGCCGAGCGGCTGCCGGAGGGCAGATCTTACGAGTCAGAGGGAGGGATCATCAACATGTAGAAGGTAACAAATGTGCTATCTCCACCCTGGGCCAACCTGGAAATACAGAAGTCTTAACCCACTGCTTGCAGGCTGAACAGGCTCAGGCTAAACCCAGGCAAGGTGGAGTGGCTATTAATCCACAGGTTGGCTGATTCTGAGGTGGTTCCAATGTGGGCCCTTAAGGAGATGGTGCTCCCTGTGAAAGAGTGGCCCTGCACTCATAGCTCCTGCAAGACTAGCAGTGTGGAAACTGTGGCAAGGAGGCCTTTGCCCAGCTGCAGCTGTGGCCTTTCCTGGAACAGGGGAAGCTCCCTCCAGTTACTCATGCCTTTGTTATCCCTTGATTGGACCACTACAGTACACTCTACATGAGGCTGTCCTTGAAGACCATCCTTAAAAGCATAAGCAGTGCCTTGCTGGATCAGACCCTTGACCCATCTAGTCCAGTAGTCTTTTTTCACAGTGGCCAACCAACTACACAAGAAAGCCCATTAGTCTCCCAGTAGATGGCCTTCAGAGGCAGTCATGCTGCCTCAAGGCTAATAGCCATTGATCGTTATGACATCCTTAAACTGCTCCAAACTGTAGCTGCCCATTTATTTATAGATCACACTTATTCCTGTCACATTCCACTTTAATTAAGGGAGCCACACTTTTATTAATCTGTTGTGCAATGAAAGGTGCTAGTTATCACCTAGAAAGTCCTTATGGATGGGGACCTGGACTTCTTCATTATTGCCTGATCCATATAGACTATGTCCACCAAGAATTTTATGGAGGAAGGACTTCATTTGCAAGTGGTTTTTCACAAGTGGCACTTCAGGTTGAACAGCAAAAGGAGGACAAGTTTTGAAGATATGCCAAAAATTGGATCCAAGGGCCACATCCAATTCTAAAGCAAGGAATGGAAGGTTCTGTCCTCTGGTTCTTCAGAGAAACCTCTGACCATAAGCAGAGCACTGATACCATCAGCATATAAATCGCCAAATGAGATCCCTATCTATCTAGTGGCAAAGTGGATTGCCAACCTGGCCAGCCATTTCATGACGTTTAATCTCAGCTACCCTTCCTTCCAAAACAGAATTCATAGAAGAAAAAGAGGACCACAAAAGATGCATGCCACAGTGAGCAGCTAAGCCCAGCAAACAGCCCAGGCAGTTTAACACAAAGTCTTCAAGTCCAAGAATTAAGCAGAGCTATAAGGCTGAAACAAAAGCGAAGGTGGGTGAACTATCTGGAAGGGCTCAGTTGCCTCCAGTGGACAAGTGGTCCTCCCTCAACACGGTCCTGGAGCATCCTGAAGGAACCCTCTGGACCGTGCCTAAGCTGAGTTTGCTCACCTTATCCAGCTTCAGCTCTAGTTCAGTTACATCTCCTTCAACATCTTCTAGGGCAGCCCTGCAAGATGAAACATGAGATTTCATAAGCATTCATTGATGTTGTCTTCAGTACTGAAATTCCCAATTATTAACTACAGCCAGTAGATTTTTAAGCAGGGAATCAGAGCTACATTAACTACAAGCAGAGGAAAGCCACCATCTGGCCTGAAACAAAGCCATATGGGCCTCTACAGGTACTAGAAATTGCCAGGCCCCAAACAGCTCCTTGCTCCATGGCTGGCGCGCTACCAAGGCTTCTCATTTCACAGACATTTTGAATTCCTCACAGGAGCATTCTGTTCTTCCGGCTCTTAATGAAGGACTTTCAGAAGGAAAGAAGTCAATGCTCCGCAGGAGAAATTGTTCATTCCGACTAACAAAAAACCAGGGACTGTTTTTTAATAAGTGGAACTATGATGGCAACAGCCACTGACCCCCCCCCCATCTGATCCCTATTAAAATGTTTCCCTAAGCAATGAGCACTAAAACTGAAAGGCAGCAGGTAAAATCAGGAGACAACTTATTTTTAGAGAGAGAAAAGAAAAGAAAAGAAAAAAAAAAGAGTGCCTGAGCTCTCCTTTGCCGGAAAAATAGTTGCAGAGTCTAACTTGCATAATTCCAGTAGAACGAAAGTGTTTTATGCCGCTTTCTGGACCAGCTTTGCTTTAATGAAGCTGAACTGTTACTCTAAATAACATTGACACCAACTAAAAGCTTCTTCAGCTTCACTGAGTTATAACATAAGCAGGACACAAATACCAGGTATTGACTAAACTAACACCTGATTATTTCCTTGCATTTACATCAATACCCCCCCAACCTTATTATATTTATTTACTTACTTATTTCATTTATATGCTGCCCATTCCTGAAAGCCAGCATAAAAGTAAAGAGCAACCCACTCAAAAATAATATCCCCTAATATCAACAAAATTGACATCAAGATAATAAACAGAAAATACACAACTCCAGCCTTCACTTACAACATGTCCTCCTCCTGTGCTGGGCAGAAAAACTAGGTTTCAACCGTTCCCCTTAAACCCAGGAGGGAAGGACCAGGCTGCATCTCCATAGGGAGCAGATTCCAAAGTATGGGAGCAACATTTGAAAATGTCAGCTTCCAAGGTCCAGATCCTGCCAGATGACAATCTCAGATAGACATGACCTGGAGGGAGCTGGCCCACTTCAGTCTGACTGCATAGGCAGACAAATATAGGAGGGGCTGACAACAACAAACACCTTGAATCACTCCGAGAAGCCAATCGGCAACGGTGCTTCCAAATCACTCACGTCACCCAAGTACATCGGAGAACACCCATCAGCATCTGGGCTACTGCATGCTATACCAGTTATTGTTCCTAAATGCTCAGGGGGCAGATGCACGTAATCCAAAGAGGGGGTGACTGAGGCATGAGTGGCTGTGAGGAGGGCCTCCCGCTCCAGGCATGGTCACAACTGGCACACAAGCTGTAACTCTGCAAAAGCCCTCTTAACCACAGCTGCCACCTATTCTTCAGGCAGGAGCTGGGAGTCTAGAACTCCCAAATGGAAGACCACCTCTGAGTGGAAGCATCCAATCCATTCAGCGTCAAAGGTAGAATTTCTCTGGAAGAGCTAGGCCCACACACCCAAAGCCACTCCAACTTGGAGTGATTCAATTGGAGTCTGTTTCTCCATATCCTACTCTGACACCTTCTTGGCTCTAGGTCAGCACTGCCACTGCGCCACCTGTTCAGTCTGGGGATGAGATGCATAAATGGGCATCATCAGCATATTGATGATACTGAACCCCATGCTGACAAATGATCTTCCCCAGATGTTTCATGTAGATGCTGAGAAGGAACAGAGAAGAGAGAGATCCCTGAGGCACTCCGTCCAACGGAGATCTCTAGGCAGGACTCTCATCTCCCACCATTACCAACCGGAACCACCCCTTCAGGAAGGAAAAGAACCACTGCAGAACAGTGTCCCCCGCTTCCAATCCCGGGGAGATGGTCCAGAAGCATATCATGGTTGATCAAAAGCCACTGAGAGACCCAGGAGGACTGCATTCCCCTGATCCTGATCTCTCTGTAGATCATCCATAACTTTCCGTGCTGTATTTGGCCAGGCTCAGCTGTCAAAGAATCCAAATGATCCACCTCTTCTAGAGGCCTCTGGAATTGTGGAGCCACTAATTTCTCTGCAACCTGCCCTAAAAGGAAAGGCTGGAGACACATACAGTATATCCAGAAGAATTGGACCAAGCGAAGGATTCTAAGCCGGGGGTGCATCTCTCCCTCTTTCGGAGGTGATGGAAAACCCCCTCGCCGAAGAAGCGGGGATTATTGCTCAGCTCCAACCTACCCGGCCGCGAGCGGCGAGCACGGCAGCGCCGACGCTACGGAGAGCCCTGCCTCCCGCACTCGGACTGATCCCGGGTCCTCCTCCTCCTTCTCCTCCTCCTCCTCCGGCCCTGGCCCGCTGGAGTCCAGCTCCACTCAATCTGAGCGGTTCCTCCGACGGTCCGGGGGGCTGCGCTTCCCTAACAGGGGACGGGGGCTGGGGGCACCCCCAGAAGCAGTCACAGCGGCAAGCGGCTTCCCTTCTGCCGCGTGCGCTCGGAACCGCGACGGGCCTCCGCCCCGCAGCGCGTCGAGGCACGGACGAGCGCCGGCCGTGCTTCCGCGGGCCC